ATCAGGCTTAGCACTTTTGCCTTTTTTAAGATAATGGGATTATAATTGTCCCCTCTAGTAAACAGCTATTTTTTAAAATACCAGCTACACTATTATGGATGCATGGTGAGATAAAATAAATTGGCACCTATTTTTTAAACAAAAATCATAGCTTCAAATGTCTTCTAAAATTATCCTTATGTCACCTATAAGAGATAGATGGACTATCTGACTGTACAGAAATACAGAAGTAGCTCTGTCTAGAAACAGATCAGGAATTAACTCTCGGGAAGTTAATCACAGTACAGTAGATATTTGTGCAGAATTACAGAAATATAGGAATCTATCTTCTTGCTTTATAATTAAATTCAGATCAGTATTATTATGATTAAATATCTTTTATCTCTTATACTAAACAACTTGTTATATTACACAGTGGTTTAATTAGCTGGGGATTATGCTAACAACACACAGTGGAAAACACTAATTTTGATCAAACAGAATGAAAAGCTTTAATAAAATGTTTCAACATAAAGATATGTGTCAACCTTCCCAGGTAGACAAGACAGGAAACACAACACAATGAATTCTACTTTATTATAAGGCTACATTAACAGAATCTTGCAGGTCTGAAACTACAAATCTCCTGCCATCTCCTTTACAGACTGAGAAGTTGCTGGGGGCAAATATCCCTTCTGACCCTCTATCTGTCCCCATTATGCAGCTGCAGGTTATCAGACGATTTTCTAACAGCATCCCCCCATTTCCCAAGGTTATTCCCATGTACCAATGCAATACTTTAAAGGGCTAGTAATTAATTTTTTTTTAAATGTAGCCAAAATTAAATAGCATTGAAACATAGGTTCCAATGGAAGAAAATTAATTTGTTTAAGCCACTGAAATCAAATGCACACAAGATGTGTTACTCAGTACTCCTCTTGAGTTCAATAGGAGTGAACTCCTCTCCATAGAAATATATAATATTACAACGTTGCAATGAACTGGATGGGGAGAAATGGAAAATTAGGTGGGAGCCTCCCAAACAGACTTGTGCACAAAGGAGGATAGCCTCCAACATGTCCCATACCTGATCCAAAATGTACAACTTACTTCTGATTTCTGTTTTTGATGTTAAAGAACAAAAACGCACTGGCCATGATCATTCCCAAGATAGTAAGTGCTGAAAGAATACTGTAGAGAGGCAGAGAAATCTTACGAAGTTGCTTTTGGATAATTGTTCTATCTTTTGGAGGTTCTTTCCCTACAATGCAAAAAAAAAAAAAAAAAGTAAATAAGTACATCTGGTTATCCCAGTTTTGTATATTTAGCCTTATTTTCAACACATTTACCTCCTATGAAATTATGTTAGATGTAAATTACAGAAGTCCAGTATATTGTGCTCCGATGAGCAGTGCATTCTTTAATCTCAGTTTTGAAACTTTTTAGGCACTGGCCAAAATTGGGAGAATTTGAATGATCATACACCTATCTCATAGAATAACAGGGCTAGAAGGGGATTTGGAATCCACCCCTTCTAGTGAACCCCCCTGCCCAGGCAAGAGTCCTTAATCCATCCCAGGCAAATGGTTATCAATCTTTTCTTGAAAACTTCCAACAATGGAGTATCCTTGACTCCAGGAGGCAAGCTGTTCCATTGTTTTCACTGTCAGGAAACTTCTCCTTATTTCCAAGTTGGATCTCCCTCTCATGAGCTTCCACCCATTGCTTCTTGTCCTCCTCTCAAGTACTTTGGAGAACAAATTTCCTCCCTCTTCCCTATAACAACCTCTCAAGTATTGGAAGATGGCTATCATGTCACACCTGAGCCTTCTCTTTTGTTAGGGTAAACATACCAGATTACCTTAGCCGTTCACAGCATGGTTTAGCCTCCAAACTGCTTGTCATTTTTGTTGCTCTTCTCTGAACTCTATCTAGAGCCTCAGCATTAGGATGATAAGAACTAGTTGCAGCATTCCAGGTATGGCCTCTCCAGTGCAGTAGAAGGAGATACTATCATTTCTTGTGATACTATCTCTCTGTTAATGCAGCTTAGGACAGTATTGACTTTTTTGGCTGCTGCAGCACATTAGCCACACTTAAGTGGTGATCCAGAAGGACACCTAGATCCTTCTCACAGATACTACTGTTGAACTAGGTAATGTCTATTCTGTACCTGCCTAAATGCACATCCTTATTTTTCTCACCACTGAACTGCATCTTATTGGCTAGGACCCAATGCTCAAGTCTGTCAAGATCTCTTTAGACTTCTGGCAAGGAACTGAATTGTTAATAGAGGAAATAATGGTTCTTAATTTACTTTTTCATATGTTGATTGGTAGGATCAGTATCAATGAGGACTCTTAGCAATTATGGCAGAAAGGCACGTTATTGGTTTTAGGGCGTCTTTTTGCTCAGTTCCTATTTAATCGTATCACCAAGGAAAGGTAGTACAAGAAAGTTAATGTCAATAAACTTTTAACTGATCTCTTAATCGCTATAGATTTCTTAAGGCTATCGTTGGACTTTTCCCACAAGTACTATTGAAACATTTCTATTTGACTTACACTGCATGTGATCTAAGCCTTATACAAAAATACACCAATCACGTGCCCTTTCTATAGTCCTGTCTTACCATGGAATTTGATGGAATTGTTGATGATTTCCAGTGAATCACGTATAGCATTATATTCTCCCACCTTTACTTCCTTTTTGTCTGCAGAGAAATAAACAATTGGAAATGTTTCTATCAGTTCATATTTTCTTCATTTCTAATACCTACTATATTTACCATTTTACCTCCCCTGTTATTGTTATACTTATAGACAAGGTAGAATGTGAAATGATTCAGAGAAGCTGACTAAAACTTGAATTTTAGGAAACTATATGCATCATACTAGAACCACAATGTAGAGTTACTATAATAAAAATACAGAGCTTAAGTTGTTCCCAAAATGTTCTAAAATTACTGTAACTATGAATGAATACATTTTGTAGGGTCATGCTGTTATTCTAGAGATATGGATTGGAGAACATCTGAAAAATAGAGAGTCCAAACAAATCCCGTACATAATCATGCTAAGTCGAGAACTTCAAATAGCAGCTTTGAGAACCATTCCAGTTCCCCAAATGAGGTATTCAAGCTAGCTGAAAAAGCAAAGGAAAAGACATCTAAAATGACAGGTTAATACCAGTACAAGAACAAAATGAACAAATGAACCACTGGACTGCTGGTGTGAAGTACTAGTTAAAATGCTGGATCTGAGATATTCTTGTTCTTAGACATGGAAATTCACTGACATACTTTAGACCAGTCATTCTCTCAATCCAACCTTGAAGTAATACTATATATATTACCTTGAGCTCTTGACTGAAACAAAGGGATGTAAATTAACAAATAAAGAAAATAAAAATAAAAACTTGGATCTCTGTAGTGCTGTGCAGAAGATTTTTATTGATTCTGGTATTTCAAGAGTTAAGAGTATTTCATCTCTTGGTAATAGACAAGATACAATATTTTGGAATTTCTTTAGTTATGTGATAACCAAAGAATGTATGTGAACATCTAGCCTTTCAGTGTACAACCATATCTCCAGGGATCTGTAAAACAGGTGTGGAAAAGGCTTCAAACTGTTTTAACCTTATTGGAAGTGTTCTGACCTCAAAACAGCCCCATTTGGAGGTGAGAATAGTCCTGGTGAGGCTCAAACAGTATCAGAGCATTTCCATTGAGAGAGGAACATTTTGTTTTGACTTTAAAATACTTTGAAATATTTTACACACAACTAATTACAGCTCCCCATGTTTTCATTGAATCCTAAAAAATATAATGAATGAATGGCTTCTAATAGGCCTTTTCAGGTTGGGATGTGCAGGCTACCTGGGGGGATTTACAGTATTGGAAACATGAATGCCATAAGAGCAACAATAAATATGCTGAAAAACAGCACCAAGAAAACAATACAGAAATTCTCAGACACCCTGACACTTCCCTATGGTCAACAGCATCATTACCATGATCCTTAGAGTTAATTGCACAACAGTGTACAATCATCCTGACTATAGGCACTGTGGGAATGGCCAGAGCTGGCTTGCACTTCCTTACCAATTAAGGAGCTTGAGAAGAAACTCCTGTTTTTTATTTTATTTTTTAATTTACAAACTGTAAATTATGTTCCCAAATATGCTGAAATCATTATATTGTTTTGGGGGGGGATAACTTCATTTCAAAATTGCTGATAGTTAACCAAATTTGATTTTTGAAAGGATAATGATGATGGTTATGACAGGTCCTTTTTAATAATATAGAGCATATGTCAACTCGCAAAGCATCCCTGAACTGCTCTCAAGTTGCCATGGGCAAGAGGGATGGGAGAGCGAACTTCACCGCTGCATCAAGGAGCTGGTATCTTAGTCAAAACAAGGCACATTCCACCCAAAACGCCAAGGTCATCTCCATGGGAACCTACAGTGGCCGGAGGGTCTTTTACAACCTGTGAAATTGCTTCGTTAGGGAATGTGACTGATTATACATATTGGGGGAAGGGGGAAACAGGGTCAGAGGCAAAGCACAAATTAACTGAGGTCAGAGTTGGCTCCACCTGGTTTGTGCGGGCATGAAGCTCCTAATAAATAAATGGATTTCTTTTGAAGCTTGGCTTGAGACTCATGATTTAATTAGGACATCAGTCGGAACCCTGACAGCATATTTGCTTTAGTTGAATTCTTTTGTAACCAGAAATAGATACGATGGTTATGGAGAAAAAGGGAACTGTAGGGCATAAAATATTCAAGATATTTGCAGACTTTGGAATCCTATTTCAGGATAATGAAACTGATTAACAGAAGTTATTAGTATCTTCAATCATTCCGTCTAAGAGAAAAAAATTAAAAAAGAGAAAAATATGCATAATTAAAATGACTAAGATTACACTTCCTATCTGCCAGACAATTGATAAGAATAATTAAGGGTATCACTGACATACAGTATCAAGAATGAAGAATGAAAAGAAAAATTTAAACACATTAAACTTAACTACTCTTTTCAGTGGAGGTAGTGACTAGATAAAGCTAATAAAAGTGTCAATCATGAAAACAAAGTGAAAAGCAGGAATTCTTTCCAACACCTTAATAATAATTCTGCTTTGAAATCACATGATCCAGAAGGATGGAATCTTGGAATGGAGTTGTCAGCAACGTTCCATGCTGCTGCCCAATGGCATTTTTCTTTATCAATTCATTTCCTGATGTACTGACAAATTACACATTTTCTTGTATTGCTAAATTGGTGGATTAATATTTTAAACAAGCTACCCAAGAAATTATATAGATAAATATGATATTACATATTCATATCTAATTATGATCAATGATCAGTCAGATGCAACTTAAATATTTTTAAAAATAGGTACTAGAAATAAGATAAAAATAAAGTAGAAATGGAATTAAAAAAATAAAAAAAAACTTGTCATGTCACAACTTTAGGATAGGATTAGGATATCTTATACCTTCTAATGGAAACAAGCACAACTAAAATATAGCAACTTGATTGAGTGATAGTATGGTTCCGGTCTAAAACTAAGAAATATGTTGCTTTTCCCAAGATTTGTTCTTATTGGAGGTGCTAAAGGTATGTCTGTATGTAAATGATCAAAGAAGGCGCAATGAAAAATACATCAATTAAAGTCTTAGGTTCATTCAAAAAAAAACCAAACCCCAGCATCTTTCAATGAATGGAATGTTACTGTACGTCCCTTTTAATACTGCCAAGGGGTAAAATTTTAAAATAGGTCAAATAAGTTTCTACAGTTCACTGATTAAAACAAGATTGAATGAATAGTTTGTAAGTAGAAAGGGCCTCCAGATTGAACTCATACATCTTTGATTATAATATCCCTGTGCAATATTAAAGAAATTTGTCAGATTTTGGCCTTAACTTTCTCTAAGCCTAGGGGTAATAGAAAGTAGATAGAGAAGCTGCTACAGCACAGATTGGCTATGATTTTATTTTCCACCTTGCTGAAAAGTCATGAAGAAGAATTAATAGGGGCAGTAAACCACTGAAAAACAGAAGTTCAAACTAATAACAGAATCAGCATTTGATTCAATGGGATCAAGGCTATTTCCATATAGTTTAAAGCAAGAAATGCAGCATGGACCCTGGAACAGTGCTCATAAAAATATATTATATAGTATATAAGGGCCAGGGGTGGGATTCAACCGTTGTTACTACCAGTTTGGTGACTACTTTTTGTGACTATGTTATTTATTCATATTTCCACAGTGTGATTTTAAGAGATGTACACCAACTCTTTTCAACTATAATTAAATAAAGGTTCTTCCTATTACCTCCAGCATTAGCTTGACACTCCTGATTTCCTAGCATCATCAAATATTAATTGTAAATGACAGGCTCAAAACAAAGATTCTTATGATCAAAAGGTTTAATTATGGAAAGCTGTTTGATGATTGTCCAAGAGCTGGCAGAAACTTTCAACCGGAACATTATTTCTAATTTTAGTGCACAGCATGATGGAATTTATAGCATGCTACATTCTGGGGAAAGTAACTGTTTCTCTTCTATAAGAATTACATGTGTTATTTTCCCTGCACAATGGAAAGTTCTCTCTCCTAAAGTTATCCACTCAGATACAGATAATATTGTCATAATTTCAAGAATCTAATTTCTTGATAGCATTTGAAAGTTTACACATTATTTGCTATGAGTGGATTTTTTTAAATGATTCAGGCTTATAAATATAATTTCCATCATTTAATTTTAAAGGTTGTCCTTTAAATGAAGATGATAATGAGGTTATTCCTGTACATACAATACAGGCAAGTTATAGCGAATGAACACAATGAATTTTATTTCATAAAGCTGCCTATGTCCAAATGAAATGCCTCATAAGTGAGAAGGCTGTCTCTTGTCTAAAGTGGGCAGCACTGCATAGAGTGATACAGGTGATGGGGAACCCACATACTGGTACAATTCCAATTTATTTCAATGTCTTCAACATTGAATATGGGTAGCTAGTTTGTAGCTCCCATGCACTCAGCCTGTTGACCATAAATCAAGATCTGCTTGAAATAAACCTGCATCTAGCCACTATATGGTGATGAGGGAACAGACTTGGTATATACTGCTTGAGAATTAAGCACTAAGGACTCCATGGTGAAGGATCCACTAAGATGGTCTGACACCGTGTCTTTATGTTATGGACTTTGGAGAAAATTTTATTCAAGGAGTTAAATCGATTTACACGTCACAGCAAGCAAATATTATTGTTGGTGCAGATTTAACCAAGCCATGAGAAATTCAAAAGGGCATTCGACAAGGATGTCCTTTATCTCCACTGTTGTTTATTTTAGTCCTGGAATAGATATAGTAGACATGATGAAAAAATAATGGGTATAAATATTAAAAATGAAATCTTACAACAGAGAGCCTATACTGATGATTTATTATATTTCTATAAGATTCAAAATGTGGAATGGGATATCTGATGAAGAAGCTAAATATCTTTGGGCTTTAGCTGATTTCAAAATAAATTAATAGAAACCAAAAATACTGATTATGAATATGACTACTCAAGATTATGAAACGTTGACGAAGAAGCCAGGTTTTAAGGTGAAAAAAAAAGTTAAATACCTTGGGGTGACATTAACAAATATAAACTCTAAGTGTTTCAAAATAATTTTGTGCTGTTTGGAATG